GCGGGGACCGGAAGGGCAACGGCGCGATGTGATTGGCTCGGGGCGGGACGGGCGGGAGGGAGGGGGAAGGACGGGGAGGGGGCGGGACGGAGGCAGCGGCGGTGGGGGCGGAGCCGGCGCGCGCGGCGCGCAGGCGCGGCGGCCGCGGCGTCGCAGGCGCCATTTTGTGCGCGGCTCTTTCCCATTTTAGGCCGCGGGAAGAGGGAGGAGCGGGAGTGCCCGTGGGATCGGTGGAGGGATCGGCCGAGAGGCTCATTCCGAGCATCCGGTGAGGTCGCACCGCATCTCTGCCGGCGGTATGACTCCGTCGTCGGGTGTTGGCTGCGGCTCCGCTCGCGGCGGTGATGGCGCAGGAGCGGGCCCGCCCGGACCCGGAAGTGGAGCGGCCGCCATGGAGGCGCCGGGACCGCCCGCCGTGAGGGCGCGGAACTGCCGGGGCGGCCCGAGCGCCCCGCAGAAACACACCCGGGGTGCAGGTAGGGGCTGCCGGCCCGCGCCGCCTTCCCGCGGGGGAGGGCGCAGCTCCGCCGCCCTTCCATCATCCCCGTGACGCGTGTGGGGAGGGAACGTGACCGGCTCTYGCTGCCGGGCGCTGCTGCACGGTTCCCTCTGCAGGAAGATTCAGCACGRACAGGGATGGCCAGTGTAAAAGAGGTTGAGGGCTTTTTCCGGGAGGTGTGCGGGCCTCTTTTACTGTTGTCTGGTCCTAGAAGTTCACCCTTACGAGGCACCTGCCGGCGTTTTCTGAGAGAGTTTGGTCTTAGAGACGAACTTTGACTTGAATAAGCAGGAGTTAGTGGCCGAAGCCTATAACAAAACTATATATTTTAACGTTAGTTTCACTTGGCTTATTATCCAAAATTTGCTTTGTAGTTCACGGTAATATAGATACATAATTTTTAATCTGAAATAACGGATCTATACTTTTTATTCCAGAGTGATGAGCATGTGTCTAAAAGTGCTCACTCTAAGCTACAAGACATCCCTCGATTACCTAAAGCAATAGCGGGGGGACTATTGTGTTAATTTGATAGAAATACATGGTTACTTTATGTGTGGTTCCCATGTAAGTTCGGCTTTGAAGTTGTTTTTTGTATATTTTTCTATTAAATTCTACTTTGGAAAGCAGCAATTAAAAGAGTTTTCTAGGGAGTTCAGCGAACGGGAGTGTGTGGTACAAGGAAGCTCTGAAAGTTTAATAAGGCATAAAATATATGAGGCTTGTTTGGAATTGACTGCAGATGAGGTCTGACTTGGAGAAAGCTCTGGAATTCTGGTATTTGGATCTGGGTTGTAAATACAAGGATGTTTAAGGATCTATTCAAAATGTCTAAAGGTTGAGGCATTTAGTGCTGAGGGAACTTTGAGTCTGTGCTGTAGTTCTGCTTTATGCAGTGGATAAACTGGAGAGTATCTGTGGGGAGCCTGCAAGAGATCGGAGAGAGACTTTGGATAAGGGCGTGGAGTGACAGGACAAGGGGGGATGGCTTCCCCTGCCAAAAACAGGTTGAGCTTGGATGTGGGGAAGAAATTCCTGCCTGTGAGGGTGGTGAGGCCCTGGCMCAGGTTGCCCAGAGAAGCTGTGGCTGSCCCATCCCTGGCAGTGTTCCAGGCCMGGGGCTTGGAGCAAGCTGTCTAATGGAAGGTGTCCCTGTCATGACAGAGGGGTTGGAACTGGATGATATTTTTAAGATTCCTTCCAACCCAAGTCAGTCTCTGATTCTATGGTTTAGAATATATTATGTCTTACCCAARTGTTAACAAAACTTCCAAAATTCCATTKGAATGTGAACTTCTGATSCCTCTGTGGAATGTRTTGGCCAAATCCTGGCTTGGATTGTGAGTGTTCCTGAGGCACGGTTTGTATCTCTGTACTGAGTGTAGAAACATTCAATAAATAACAGTTTGTGGTCAAACTAATCAGTCTTGTTTCTGATTTCTAGCATAAAAATCCTGCCCCAGTGGACATACCTGTTACCACCAGCATGATCAGGAGGTTCATGGCACATCACCCATCAAGCTGCTGTGAGCAAAATGACTTTATTTCTGTATAGCCAGTGAGCAGGAGARGTGACTTGTTCTTTTATGGTATTTTAAGCACCTAAGAATGCCCAGTGGGCAGCTGAACGTAGCACAACTGTTCTCACACAGCTTAGGGATGATGTCTGGTGTCATGGAAAGAGAACGCTGTGCTTGTGGCAAGGCAGAAAAAGGGTCTAATTTTGGTTTAAATRTCTTTTCATTGGAATATGAACTTCAGGACTCAAGAGTTGCTCCATGATACTGAAGTTTTTCATCCTAAATACCASTGTTAAGCAGCCCTGAAACTTGAAGCCAGCCTGGCTGTTCTAGATCCTTGCAACTGTGCCATCCCCCTGTGCAAATCCTTATAGGGAAACGGTGGAAGTGAGTGGAAGAAATGAGCAGTGGAGGTCGCTTTGGTGAGTCTTTTTATCATGGCCTGTTGTGTTTACTGCACAAAATTAACTCTTTTAGAAGCTCTAGAGTGGGACAGTCACAGTAAGTCATTTTAGTATCTAATCTCTCTGTAAACAGACATACTGTGTGGTAGAAATATTTCATTTTTTAGATCATTGTTCAAAGCAACAGCACATGTGTTACCTTTTTTTTTTGTTAGTACCAAAGGTCTTGTAGATGCAGAGGAGATTTGCCTGGGGCAATACGTTTGAGTCTTAGCTTGAGTAAATTAAAGGCTTTTTAATTTAAAAACAATTAAAAGCATTAAGGCACTCTTAGGCATGACACTGGTTCATTGGTCACTTGGAATTCTMAGTGATGGCTGTAAGCAAATTAGCAAAAATAATACACTTAAACACTTGAATTAGTGTATTAGTTGCAGAATATACAGAAATCTTGCCCAAAGTCTTTCATRCATGTGGCACTTGATAAGAAAAAGGCAAATTTAGGAATGTCTGTATCTTAGAGTTCTTATAAGAACAGCAGAATAAATAACTGTTGAATGYATCACGTGGCTTCCCTGAGATCAGAGATAAAGTAAGACTATTTCTGGGATAAGATGGTTTTATTCTGTTCAGTAATCACAAACTGCTSTTGACATACTGCATTTTTTTGTAGGTAAAAGAACTCAGAATAGATTTACAATTGTAGCCAAAAAATGTAGAAATATTAAAAATATTGGATCTTATTCTAACACTGAGCTTCTGTCTATGTAATGAAGTACAGTGCTACTCTGTCAGACCTTACAAGTGTTCAGTAGACTTGTAGCTTTTATTTTTGTCTCCGCTGTTTAGTTCTTCTTTTCTTTTCATTTTTTATTTTTTTTCATATTTTTCTTCCCCTTGGTGTTTCTATTCTGTAGTTAAATACGCAACACTTCTCCATTGATGGTTCAGATCCTCTGTCTGTGTGGAACTGCAGTATTTCTGTACAAATTAAGGTCATATGCTTCCCACAAAGCTTTATTATCTAAGTGATTGCAAACTGCTCAGAGGAGTGTGGTAAGAAGTTGTGAAGTGCAGTGCAGGTATAAAGAGAAAAAATCCATATGAATTGTGAAGTTGACAACAAAAAACTTCAGCCAGTAATAGCTGGATTATAAAAATAAGAAGTCAAACCTTTCCTGGTCATGGAGAAAATTGTGCTTTATTGTTAAACTATCAATGATAAGCTCCTTAATTTTTATAATAGTATGTCTAAGGGAGAGAAAATAAAAAGAGTAAAACCTGTTAATGTTAAATGCTTACTTTCAGTTTCCTCAGCTCTGGGACATTCCTGTCCTCAAGTTCAGAAAATGGAYATTTAATTATTCAGACATAGCTTCATGCTGATTTTAACCATTTCCCTGTAAGGGTTCCCACTGAAAAGACASGAAGTTTGGCAACCCTCAGGGAGCCTGAACTGATGTATTCTCTCCACTGAATTTCAGTGCTGATTTGAATCTGGTCTGGGGTTGTTTTGCAGCAGTACAGTATCTTCTGGACATGAGTAATGATGAAAATATTTAAGACATAGAGCACTCCRTCAGAAATATTTGTGTGAGAAAAATCTCAGAACTGGGATTTCTATCAGCTCTGCAAAAATAATACTCACTTTGGAGTTGCTTTTCCCAGTAGCACCAGTAAAGTGATCTGTGCTCAGCTGGCCAAGTTCTTGGCAGCAGCCTCAGTGATCTCCAGGGAGGAGCAGCCCCRTTTTTCCTGAATAAACTATGTCCAGACTTTGTTGTGCTTTGTGGCTGCAGATCYGAGCTCCAATCCCACGTGTTCTCCAGTGTGTGCAGGAATCAGTGATGCATTAACTGAGTGTGGAGTTGGCAGCCCAGCACTATCAGAGGAGTTTCAGTTCTCAGCTGATGGAGCTGCTGCTTTCCCCTGGCCCATGAGCTGTGGCATCTATCAATCTTCTAGTGCTAAGCAGAAAATGTTCCTTGTTTTAAGACTGATTTGGTAATCKTGTGTTTGGACAGAACAAGAGCTGTGTTGTAAGAGGCTATTTTTATTCTTTCTGGTATGTAATTTTACAATAACTGACATATTTGTATCAAATGTTAACRTTGGCTAATTCAGGAACTATGTGTTCATTGCCAGGGTTTACTTCAGCATGGATTCTAAAGCCAGTTTCTGCATGTTTTGGCACGTGCTGTTATCTGAATATAGATATTTAATTTTATGTTGTTGTCTAACAAGGGGATGCAGGTTATGGAATTTGATTACAAATACACTGAATTTCTTGTATTATTTCTCAGGATTGCAAGTTCACATTGATGACGATAGTTACAGCTATCCTGGGGAAGT